CCAGATGGATGTTGCAAATCTGGGATAACAAAACATTTCATTGACGTTTATGAATATTTTTTGACAAATGTGCTCAAATTACAAGCCCTGTTAAAATTTCTAATTTTTAATAATCTTGGTAATTTGAATATAAATTCGGCTTTTCCTCAATAGGTTTTGCGTGTTTAAAACATTTTGAATTCAACGTTAAATATTTTGTAAAAAAAAAAATGGTTTTGTGACAGAATGTAGCTTTAAATAATTTTTAATGGAAAATTTTTATTTGGAAAGAAATATAATTATTTAAAAAAAGGATCGATTTTTGTAATGAATCATTTCTTGTCAAAATGATTTCACAGCTCATGAATTATGGCTGCAATTTATCAATTATGATTGTAACAATTTCAACTGCAAAATTTTACTCCTTTTTTATTGAATTTATTCATTTTTTTATTTTGTCTCTTTTAACATATATAATTGAAATTTACTTCAAAAAGTTCAAAATAATACAAATGGAATATTTTCAGCTTTAGCTTATCAAACTGAAAATTGCCCCTATTGAGGAAAGCTTTTTGAAATCGTTTATCCACTTTTCCCGTTTCACAAGAGCCGTGCAGGGAAATTATTTTTCATGGCAAAGCAGAGTTGTGCGTGAGTTCGTCACGAATCTCTCAAAAAGGGACTTTTGCAACGCTGAATTTCGCACGATTTCCCCGGGGCCACGCCATTGTGATGCGCGCGGCACGTCGTTATCGCAGAGAGAAAACTCACTCTCGCAACATTTGCATTTTGGAGCGCAACGAAGGCTCATTACCGGCAGCGTATCCCATTTCCCTACAACGACGGCGCTGCTGAATTCCGAACGAATTTGGGATCAAGTGACACTTCCTTTCACACGTCTCTCATCCACACCACCTTTCATGTAGCGCCTTTGATCTCTGCAGGCGTAGATGCCACACCCCCCGACCGAGAACGAGAAAGTGAAAATTTAAATTACATAAGACGAAATAATAATGTAATCCGCGGGCTCTGCGTTTTAATTTGCGCCACGCCCGCGCGCATAAATAAGCCTAATTTGTATCAAGTTTGCGCCCTTAAAATGCAGGCTTTCCCTCTCATTTGGCTGAGGATTTGCAGGGGATCAGTTGCCTTCCTAATGAGCCTCTCGTCGCCTTCCCGAATCCAAATTAATCAAACGTGCGCGTTCAACTTTTAAATTAAATTAACAATCGTCGCGGCGACTAATCGCGTTTGATTTGAATAAAGCTCGGGCTCTTGCGGCGCCGCCGCTGCTGCATGTGTTAAGAGCTTAATCCTCTTACAAATAAATACTGCTGGCCGCATTTTAATCTTTGTTCCGGCCGGCGCTCTTGCTGATGCTGCGGACCGGCGTGTTTTTAATTAATAGATTAATTAAGGACTGGCGATATGCGGTCGGCATGCAGCAAATTTCCTGAAAGGCTCGGATTTTGGTTCTAAAAGCAAAAGCACTGCGAAGAAAAATTCGGCTCAGGACTTTTCCTAGAATTTTATATAATTGTTTATCGAAGGCTGCCATAGTTTTGAAAATACAATTTTTAACCAAGTTGAGAGTACGAAAAAATTTTAGTCTTTTTTTTCAGATCAAAGCATTTTTATATTAAAAAATTTAAATTTCAGGATTTGATTTTATTAAATTTTTCAATTTTTTTACTTAAAAAATAAACTCTTGCTAAAACGAGTTAAAAACAATGTTCTAAAAAAATTTCAATTGCTTTTATGCTGTTTAGCGGAGCATGCAAAGACTTAATAATATTATTTTTTTAAATTTTAATAAAAATTCAAAGTCGTTAACGTCAGTTAAACATCAAAGTGAAAATTGAACAATTTTAAACACAAAAACGCTAATTTTGAAAATTATGAGTTATGAGTAGTTTCAAATATCAAACTGCCATTAAAATAAATTTTGAAAATCATTTTCCTGCGTCACGTTGCTCCAAATGTGACGAATTTTTTTATTTTTTTATCGCGTGCAACAACAAAATCGGGGGCGTCAACGCCAACTGCGAGAGCATTAATTCAGCGCGTTTATCCGCGAGCTGAAAAATGATCACAAGCACGCGGCACGTGCGATGTTTTGCCAGCGAAGGAGCACGAGTGGATGATGTGAGTGGCCTCTCGACCGATGGCTGCTGCGCTGCTAGATGGATCGGGTGGAACAAACAAAAAAGTGGAGGGTCAGCGAAAATCGTGCAACAGCGACTGCAGCTTTTTGTTTAGCGCCGAGTTTTTTTACTCCAAGGGAGCTAAAAAGAGACGTTGGCAATAAAGCGGAAAAGAGCCGAGGGCGTATTGACATTTGATTGCTTTCGAATCCGCCGCCGCCGCACCTCGGGGGCGGCATCAGGTCCCATACTCAGCGCAGCAACAACCGCTCCCTCAGGATTACATGTCTCGGTCGACCCCAGTTCGCTAAGTGTGCTACTTTTAAATGAAGCAAATTTGCCGAAGAGCGAAAATTCGAAACTCGTTCGAGAGTCGAATAGGCAAATTGCAAACACTTGGGCGGGCAGGTGCGTGGGTCGAATATTGAGTTTGCAGAGAGGCACGTTTGACGAGTGGGCGGATGGTGGATACTTGTCGTTTTGGGCGCAACGAATCAGACCCTTGCGAAGTTGTCATGCTTTTACTTGCAAATCTGAAACTTCTGAAAGTTTAGAATTCAATAAATAAAATTTGCTGCCTTCATTTCAGATAAAATTTTTAATAGAATGTTTAAAAAGACGTCAAAAGTAAATAAATGTTCATTTTTTTATATTTGGTATATTTTTGTAAAGAAGAAGAGAAGAAGAAGAAGTTATTTCAAAATATAGTCATAAAAATGGTATAATAAAATAAACAAATTTGAGCTTTTGACAATTTCTTGATTTTTCTTTAAAATTGATATTAACATTTTTTCAAAATTAAACTTTTCCATGCGCTAAATTTATTTTCGTCATTCTTTGCTCAGTATTCAATTTTTTTTTTAATTCGTTCTCTTATGATGTAAAAAACTAAAATGAAGACAGATAAAAGCTCAAGTAATTTTTTCTAAATGACGGAATGTAAGTAATAAAGCCTAAAATAATTATTTTTAATCAATTCTGTTTGGTTTTCACTCTCAAAAGCGCTCAAAAGTAAATCATTTTAATCTCAAGCAGGGCTCTAATTTAGATCCAGATTTCTTAAAACTCTTTAAGGGCACTTCATCTTATGGTTAAAAAAAATTATCTTTATCTGCCTTATGATCATTTTAATTTTTTTCCTCAGAGGAAACAAATTTTTTAAGCAAGACTTAATTTTGAAAGTGCTACGTTGAACCACTCACTTTGAGTAAAGCAGGAAGAGTAAACTCGTGTTTTAGACTTTTTATCTGCAGCAGAAAATTTCGGCCAAAATAAACAGCGTGAGCAGCAATATCCGCTTTCTATTTCGGCTACGGTTCTGAAAGCCATTTCCCCTGGCTGCCGTTCGACCTGACAGACTGACAATTTCACTCAGAAGAGCGAAACTTTGCGTGCGTGCCGCAGCAATCTCTCCGAGTCACGGTACTGTGTGTGCTGCAAAAAGCAGCAGCCGGCGGTTTCCGTCCGAGCGATTTTGCGTTTCGAGCCCGCACGGTTATTTGATCGATTTCGCATTAGACCAGCGACCGCAGTTTGTTTCGATTGTCGGCGAAAATGTCGTCGCGCAGGGAGGAAAGGCACTTTGTCTCAAATGGCATCATCGAAACGCTTTAGCTAGGGTGGAAGGGACGGCGACGCAAAAGCGCCTCCTAACCTACTTCCATAATGCACCAATTCCTGCAGCGCTCGTAAATTCTTTCAACCAAGTCTCCGCAGGTTTCTATAAAAATTGAGGCTCCATAATTTTGCCGCGCCGGAATTGGTCTGACACTGCAAAAGTGATATTCCACACCAGATTGAAATTCTTATGACAAAAATGAGGAAAGATTGAAAAAAAAATTTCAAGAAAAATATTTCAAAATATATGTTTACAGTTTACAAATAATTTTCAACATTTCAAATTTTTATTAGTTTATTTGTTTATAATTAGTTATTTTCAATTGTTGGATATTTTAATAACTTGATTGCATTTTAAAAACCATCAGACTTTCGCTCTTATTAATTTTTCAGACTTTTGCGAGCTGAAATTTTAATTAGCGAAATTGGCCGAGGGTCGAGTCGTGGCTCTCGGGCGCCAAGCAGCCGAGTTGTTTTTGAGCCAAGCAAGGCCGCCCGCTCGCTCGCTCGCTGGCTGGCTCTGTGTGTCTGCGATGCACACAAAAGTATTGATCTGCAGCTCAGGGGCGAGCTCACAAAGAGAGAAAACCTACTCATACATATATGTACACACGCCAAATTATCATTACTCGGCCACTCACTCACTTTAATCGCCGGATTGCATCGCCGCCCTCGGCCATCTCCCAATCCGAGAGCAGCCAAATTGGCCTCGTCATTCCCCGACACGACGGGCATGAAATTGTCGCCAATTGTGTGACCGACCACTCGGATTTTTTTCCGCCCTTCCCCAACAGATTGCACGTTGCTTCGGAGAAAATAATGAACTGCTACTTCGGATTAAATGTATCAGGTTTGATCGGAATTTCGAGGGTTAATTATACAGGTTGGATTTGTTTCCGTGCAACTTTTTCCTCGCGTTCCCAATTACTATCGAAAACGTGCGGGAGTGGAAAAGCAGGCACTTGATTTAATCACGGAGAGTAATTGCTCCGCTTTTGCCGGGAATTGGGATTGTACAGTAGTAATGAGAGCGCAGGAATCGATTTTTAATTTTATCGCGCGCACTCCGTGCTGAAGCATGCAAACGCCCTTTCGTTTGATGGTTAATTATTTGCTAACAACCGACTGAAATTTGAAAGACGGCAATTAAATTTCTAGAAATTGAACAATTTTTTTCAAAGGTCAGATCGCTTTTTTGTTCCGCTCGCTCAAATTTAATACATGAATTTTGAAAATTGTGAAAGATGGAAAGGTACTCACACTGCTCCGGCGGCCCACTTCTTGGGGTCGAGGAAGGCGAGTCCGAGCACCAGGCAGCAGGCGAGGCATCTAGCCAGGAGGGCTGACGAGTGGGGCCGCATCGCACCTTCGCTCGCTTCTGCTGCTGTTTCCGTCTCAGGTCCTCATAGTTTTTTCTTCTTCCGGCGCGCCGCAATGTTGTCAGCCCTGCTCACCTGCTGCTGCCGGCGGCCATCCTTTCTGGCTGCACCTGCCTGAGCTGGCTGCTGCTGGTGAGATGAGCTTTGCTGCTGACAATGGGTGTGCTGGGTCGAGTGGCTGCTCTCAGGGCGCTGCCTGCCTCCCGAGTGAGCCGGCCAAGGGTGGAGCAACCCCCGGACGCCCCCCACCACACCCCGCCGGCGCGACCCGGCCGCCGCAGCTGCGCCTTCTTGCCGCACGCCCAACGCTCTCAACCGCCCAAACCGCGCCACGAATACGCTGAAAATATTTGTTTTAGCCTTACCGAGTCTACCGAGGCGCAAATCCTACCGCTCGGACGCACGGATTTGGAATTTCGGTCCGCACGAATTCGACGATTGCGTCTATTTTCTGTTGACATCTAAACCCTGTCCTTATTTTTTCTCCCAGGCAACTCGTCATGTCCGTCGTAATTAATTGCAAATATTTTTGCCTGCTCAACATTCGTGTTTGTTTTGATTAAATATCAGCAAATTAGCTTGTTTTCCAATCGCGAATTTACCTCAACCCGATTTGAAACTCCAAGTTACACAACAATGAAAAACGGTTGTTGTTTGCGCTCTCTGATTGGATACAAAAGAACATTCATTTTTATCAATTCAAAACACTTGGCAACAATCCAAATTTGCTCTGATTGTTTTGTTTTTGTGTTTTTGAACAAAAATTCAAATTTGTTTTGCTGGCAGTAATTCATATTTAATTGAAAATCTACCACACGTACCTTTTAAAAGGTAAAAATTATTTTCTTATTCAAATTTTCAAGAAAAATTATATTATTCAATAGCTTAATGCGAAAGTTCTGGAGAATCCTTAGTGCTGGTAAATGAGCCCAAAGTTTTTTTTTAGCATGGAAATTCCAAGACGCTGGTATTATTTAATAGCTGCTTGATAAAAAGATCTTCCTGGATCTGGGATAAACGTGGGTTTTTGGCTAATTTATGAGGGCTTCTCCAAGGCATTGGCTAAATGAATAGAAGAATTTCCATACAAATTTTAAGTTTTTTTTATCTTATTCCAATTTCCTTCTTTTACGGCGTATTCTTTCTGTATTTCTTTGAAAATTATTAAAAACGAAAGAAATGGTTCATAGAATTTCGTTCTGATCAATTCAAAAATTGCGTCAAATTTTGACCCACACTCTGCGACGTAATTTGATTCTAGAATTCTACGATGAGCTGTAATCTGATTAATAAAGAATTAGTTTTTCAAAATTCGAAGATGTGATGGCGAAAATTTAAAATTTTGCGCCCGTTTCACATTTTGAAAAACATTTCAAACCAATTCATTGGATGCCCGCACGATCTGGAACACATAAAACGGGCTTTCAGAGGAAAAAAGGTGCGAGAAACAGAGACATTCGTTTGATCGAGCTCGCGGACATAAAATTATTCATACGCGCCGTAAAAGCAAACGAGAGAGGACAAGAGCTGGCCGGCCGCCGCGAGTCGTAAAAGGGCTGTAAACAATGCCATCGGTTCGCGCCACGAATGTAATGAAAGTTGGTCGTGTCCAAGAGAGCGCCTGCCGAGCGACGGATATGCAACCCGCGCGACGCCTCTGCCCTGCGAATTGCATAGCGCGGCCGGATTTGGATTTATCGCCAGGCTCGATCAAAAACACGGCGGGTGGTGTCCGTGCGCGAATTATTTCGGGTGTCAAAATTTTCACTCGTCGTGTTTTTTGTCGCCGCGGGAGTGAAATTCCATCCGCCCGCTGATGAAAATTTGTACTGCAATTTCTGTAAACATAAAAAAGGGCTGGTAAATTTACAAATGACGATAGAAGTAACTGAGCGCAACAAAATTTTTTGGTAAAAATAATATTGTATTACGGAAGTAATTCTGAATTTCAATAGAATCTCTTGTCGTGTGATATAAAATAAAACTAGATGTTATAAATTATTTCTCCTTGATGTCATAAAGTTATTTTCCAATAGAAAAGAATGAGCGAACTGGCTTTTCATTTAAATTATAATTAAAAGTTAGTTATATTATCAGTGAGCCTAAGAAACACATGATTGTTTTTATTATGTAAAATTTACGCAATATGCTCTTCTTTGAATAAATTTTTTAATGCGTTTGAATTCAGAATATTATTTTAATTAATAAAATGCTAAAAAGATAATTTTTACAATACATATTGTTTTCATCATTTAAGAAATATTTCACATTATCAGGTATTGATTTGATGAATGTATTTATCAATTTATATAAAATGGAGGAAAATAACAAATGAATTTAATATTGCCAGAGGTTTTACTCAAAAATAACATTAAAATCAGCATATATAATAATTTATCTTCTTTGTATCTTTGTGCTTATACGTTCTAGATCTAGATTTTATACAGAGTTTTAGAATTTCCTAATTCAATCAAAAAATTTCTATCGGACTAAAAAAAGAACTGAATCAAGGGGAGAATAAAATTATAATTGGATGTTAAAATCCATTGCTCCTATCCAAGTCAATCGTGTTCAACAAAAAATTTTAGAACCTCCCTGAATCTCATAGTTTCATAAATTACAACAAATTGCTAATTTTTTGTTCCCACAAATTTGGAAATTTTGTAAAGAAAGTAATGTAAATTTTAATTAAAAAAATCACCATTTTCACTGTATTCAATTGTGGGCAATGGAGTGAAAATTTAATGTCAGTTGCGTTTTTGTTTGATCTAATTGAGAAAAATTTTTGCTGGTAAATTCAAGTTGAATTTCTTGACTGGTGCAACTTGAATGGAGAATAAATCCAATACTCTAGAAAGATAGAGGAATACAGTAGTTTCAAATTACGAATGAAATAATTCATGAGCCAATCGAGCCACGGGGGGCGTCTAACATATATCGCTAGAGTCTTTTGCATCGGAATATTTATGCATATATCCTCCCCAATCACGGCATGGCAGGGGGGTGCGCGCGGCAAGGACAGCATAATAAATGCACGACACCGCGGAAGCCCTCGTTCACATAATAAAAAATCGATCGCGGGCAGCAGATTTGCGCCGAGCGCGAGCAGTCAAATTGCCGGCGGCAGCATAAGTCTTTCGCCTGTCGTGTATACAACCAGCACACATCATATTTTTTGCTTTGTTTGCAGGTGGAAGCGAGTGGCAGATCGCATGCGGCGCCGGAATTTTTCACCTTTTTCTCGGGGGGCACGCGCGCGTGTGAGTGACAGCTTCGAGATTGATCGCAATGAATAAAGTGCGTGCGTGTCTCTCTCTCATTCCTTCCCTAGGCGCAGGGGAGTTTTTCAAGGAGGGTCCGACCGGCCCTAGCTCAACGCGTTTCGCCCCGACTTTTTCATAATAAAATGCGCTGCTATATCGACGTGTGCACTGCCAGGAATATAGGCCACTCGGTCACTCTGTCGCCTCTAATAAGGGGATGCACTCGTCGCCACCGTTTTCTCGTGCACACGTTCCTTTGCCCCGCAGTGACTGCAACAAATGTTGCTTTTTCTTCCGTCTTCCTTCTGCTTAATCAATTTACATTCGCCTCCTCTCGTTCGCGGCCTCTCACTTTCTTTTTTGTTGCTTGGCGAAAATCGTGACTGCTGTTTGTGTTGCTCTCGACAATATGGATCACCGAGACTTTTCTCTTGTTAAATGAAAATCACAGAAAATATAAGAAATAATGTAACTTATTTTGCACCTTTATAAGACGTGATTCTGAAAATGTATCCTTTATGGTGAATTTTTCTGTAATTAATTAATTACTTTGGAATCCAATATTTAAATTTTTACTTTTTTCGAATAATTTAAAATTTATTAAAATTAGTAAAATCTCTATGTTTCCTTCTTTGGTTTTACATTTCACTTTTTTCACAATAAATTACGATAATTTTATCCTGGTGGTTCAATTCCAACTGAAAATGCAATGGAAGAAAAAAAAATATTTTTCCCAATATAAAAAAATTATAATTTTGTTGAAGAATTACATCATGCTCATAAATTTAAAAGTAGACGGCCTCTATAAATACAAAGCCGCAGGGACGCTGCAAAAGCAGATATCAACAAACACATCAACCGCATCAACGCCCTTAAAACTATAAATATATTTTATCAAAGCAGATTTTCAATGATATCGTGGATCACATAAGATCCCTCAAGGATGTAATAATTACAAATTACACAATAGCGATTCAATAATGTTATTTATTATAATTTTTATTAAAAAAAAGTGAGTTGAAAAAAATTACTGTTATCAATCATCAATGCACAGACGGAATATACAATCATATTTAAATTGAGGTATTATCAACTGCAGAACGCAGCAGTTGTCCAAATAAAATTATCTTGTCAAAACAAAAAGGCACCTTCCAACATTGAAATTAATTCACGGACTAACTTGGAAATATATAATTAACATGCATTTCTGCAGGTCAATAAAAGCAAACAAAACAAAAGTGTCAAAAGTTAATTAATAATGAATTTAAAACTTCTTTCCTTCTATCTTTCTTTTAAGTTTGAAATAGAATCATAAATATTCATGCAAATGCAAATGGTGATTATTTTTTTTTCCAAAAAGCAGGAAATTATAAGCATAAAAATTCGAATCTCTAAAATATGCACGCCACGCAGTAGCTATAAAATTTTAACCTAAAAAAAGACTTAGTTTTCCATGCAGTTAAATACAAAATTGTGCTGGACTAGATCAAGAATCTTAATATTTTTTTGTTTGGGATTTGAAAACTACTGCACGGTACGTGGCGGAGAAAACAAAATATAAATGTGATATCAAAGTTAAGCTAAACGCAAACGCGCAGTATGTTTTTGTTTATCTTTGTGTCACTTTATTAGCACTGCTGAGATTTATATTTTTCCCCTCCCACCACTGGCAGTAAAAAAAGTCTAATCAGCTGCCACTTTTTTAACGAAAATTGCTCCGCTGGACACGAATTTTTAGGAGTCAAGTATTAACTGAACCAAGGTTTTCTGAAATGTGTATATGATCGTAAAAGATATTACATCATGCCCATGCATGCGTCGTGCATTTGCGCCCCTGGCCACTGCTGGCGCTCAAACCTCACGCCCTCAATCGATCTCTCTTTTAACTACACTAAGTTAATTTCACTTTAACTCGATAAACATTCGGCTTGACTATTCTCTGCCAAAATCTAAATTTAACCTGTGAAATTCATAACCAAAAATTTATTAAATAGTAAAATAATGAAATTTAAAATTCACGTTAATGAACAAAAAAAATGATAATTTCATTTCTTACATATAATTAAGTTTACTACAGATGTTCTTAAAATTTCATCAAATTTCAAACATGAAATTTCATTATATTCATTTCCTAGTTACTTTATTTAGAGTATTTTCTCATTTATTTATTTTTATTTTTTTTGCGAATAACGGCTCAGGTAGTGTAAAAAAATCTAAATTTTTAATTCATTTTGTTTTATTTTTTCATCATAAGTTACAAAATTTGGGGAGATTTGTTGGCGTGATTATGAAACACCTTTGTCATTTTTTTTTTCTTTATCGATGTCATAATCAACTGCTCTTTGCACAGCTGATCCAGTCTAAAGGTGCAAACCTACCAAGTCTGAGGTTTTTTCATCTTCAAATGTGGTGCACATGACCGTCTGCACTGCAACGTTCATTTGGCACAAGGGAACAAAATTCACTAATAAGCACAACCAAGATTCTGGAAATATTCTTAGCGTCGTCCAGTCCACAATGCTGACGACCCTCAAATTCTAAGGCCAGATGTTGAAGCATTCCATTCAGAGATGTCTGTTGATTAAAATTTAGTTAAAAAGAATTAAAATTCAAACTTATGAGTCAGATTAACCCACCTTTCTACATTTGTAATGAGATGCGAATGCTCGTTGTAGATTTATGTACTTTCGGCAGTACGTGGGGAAAGGTACTTCAGTCAGCTGCAATTTTATATTAAATTCAACGTCAGAATGCAGACCGAATACTATGTACAAACCTTGCACTGGCCAAGAAGAAATTTTGAAAAGTCCCAGGGCCCATCAGTGACAAAGCTGAACTTGTGCTTTCTTTTTGCACCAACGAGACCGTGGCTCTTGAGCCACTCATCGAACTTGGCCAGCACGCTCGAAAATGGCTCTGCAGAATCTACTACATCCTGAAAATTATGTTTAATTTATAATTTTTGTGATAACAATTCAATCAAAGTTAAAAAAAGAAAAATTTGAATAGACAAACCTGAGTAATTCCAGTTAAAGAAATGCAAAACTCGGAGAGAGTGGGGTTGAGCTTTGGTTTGCAGAACATGTGAAATTGGTCCACAATCTCTTTCTTTCGTGTGTCTATTAACAGGGCTGGAAACTCTATAATTTCATGACTGGAAAAAACAATAGAGATGGTTAACTTTTGTTGATTTAAAATTTGCAAGTATTACGGAAAGCTGTTGTCCCTCTCTTGTTCACATGTGGCTTCGAAGTCGATGACAACATAAAAAGGCAGCTGGTCTTCCTGCAGACCGGACGTTGAGGGCTTCCTGGGGTTAGCTAAGGCTTTCAGTCTTTTCCTGAGGACTTCCACAGATCCTCGGTCGTTGGCACCTTTTAGCTGAAGCTTCAGTTGAGCATCCTGCAGACTGAGATTGTTTATCTCCCTGTTGAGCTTGGAAAGTTTTTTAGAGTCCAACTTCTTAGCTTGCAGGGCAGACTTATTCTCAAGGGCTTCAGCCTAAAATTAAAATTATTATTGGAGTAAAATGATAAAATCAAACATTTATAATTCATGAATATCATAATATCACTTAAATTATGATTAAAGTAAATTAATAATCATTAATTATATAATATAATACACATATTATTAATATACCATTTTGATTGGTTAAATTCTGAGACTTTTATCACTTTCACTTAGCAAAGAATTTACATCAAAAGACATATTAAAATTAATGTAACGTCAAATATAAAAAATCCTGTTGACATGATGCAAATTTCGATTATATAGGAATTCGGAATCCGCTAAAATGCGAACTTCTCAAATCTCAAAATGTTCATGCTTTCATTTCATTGCGGATTGCGGGCGAGCGGCGCCGAATAGCAACGCCCACTTTTTATTCGTTTCATTTTCATAGCCAACTTAATCATAAAAATGAATTGAAAGAAAATCATTACATTTTTAACAATAATTATAAGTTTAAATTTTAAATTTATCTCAATTCAACACATTTTCATTAATTTTTTACCTAAAAAAAAATAGTAAAAAAAGCTGAGATTGCCTATTTATTGAGTTGTAGGGTCTAAGAAATTATTTTGTTATGTTGGTCTCCTTGTTTATTTTACCTGGGCGTGTCCTAAACACTGCAACTTCGCATTCTTCGCAATTTATTTTATTTATCTTTTCGTCTTTCGCTCGACGAACGTCATATCGCCGTTCTCCGCGATAGGATTAATTTTGCCCATCATAAAATTGGGCTTCATTAGACTAAAATGGTTATTTAAATAACTATTTACCTAAATCTAACTGAAATTTGATTAGAACCCTCTAAATAATATTTCGTTGAAGATTTGTAAGTATTTATTTGCTGCGTTTTAATCAACAAGTTTTAACATCCTTGGTTTCGTGACCTGGTTTTGTGCTTGTATTATAGGAGATGGGAAGAAATAAGTGGCAGAAGACTGGCGTGTCCAGCAAAGGTCGAAGGATAAGAAAGTTGACGTTTGACGTTATGTGGGAGTCTGGCTCAGGATGGACAGATGCTGTCAAGTTCGACGCTGAGGATGAAAAACGAAAAGCCAGGGCTGAGGAGATCAGGTTGCGAAACTCGGGTTTTGTTTACAAAAACAAACAACCTGTAGTCGTTTACAATAAGGAATTGTTGAAAGGTATTAAAGCTTTAATTAATTTAATTCTAAATTAACTTTTAATGTATGTTGACAGGGAAAGTTTTTTATGTTGACTGTCAGCTTGACAAAGAAGCTGTAAAGAAAGACCAAGTGCTGATGTTGAGTAGAAAGGAAATCACAGAAGGAGTTGTAAGTCAGCTGCAGAAACTCGGAGCCACAGTTAGCCCATCGTTAACTAAAAAAGTATGAGTCTTGATTGTTTTCAATTGATAATTTATTTACATTTCATGTTCACAGGTGAATTTGATAGTGTTCATGAATGGTCGCTATGCCACCTATGATTACTCTCAGAAAAGGTCCATTCCAATGGTGTCAAGTGGTTGGATTGAGGAGTGCAAGAAATTAAACAGTATAGCCAGCACCGATAAGTTTTTAGCCAAAGTACCAAAGAATTACTTAGATCCCACTGCACCCAGGAAGTACAAGGTAATTTTGTATTAATCTGTTTTTACAAAGTTTGCTCAACAATTAAATGCATTTCAGAGAAATTATTCTGTTGAGCATTTGGAGAAACTTGTCGAGAAAAGGAAAAACCAAAGAAGTGTGGAAAAGTCAAAGGAGGACTCCAAGAAGCCCGATAGCAAATCAACAAAATTGGTAATCTCTATTGTTTCATTAAATAATAATTTTAATATATATTGTAACCCTTTAATCAGGTTAAGACTGAAAGTAAAGTAGACAAGAAATCCCAGACCAAGCAAAAGTTGAAATCAGAAAGTTCAACTTCCAAGCGAGAGAGAAATAGTTCTAAAACAGGCTCTCCCACAAGTGATTCCTCTAGTCGGAGGTAATAAGAAATTTAATTTATTTATTTATTTATTTATTCTCCATCAATTACAAAACATACATCAAACAAAATTTACAAAAAAAGTTTGTTCTGAAAATAAAAGTCAGAATATTTGTTGTTTAAAACAAATTAAACTCCATATTTTAATAAAAAAAAAATTCAATGCATTTCCAGTCACCAAGAAAACAAGTCACCTCAACAGAGGAATGCTCGATCAAACAGAAGGTAGCTAAAATAAAAGGTTTTTTTTTTTATTCCAAGCTTGATTTTTGTATTTAAACTTTAGTTTGTCTCTGGAAACTGTTAAAATTGAAACATCAGACCACAAGAAGATGACGCAGTCCAAAAGGAGAGAGAGTCCTGCAAAAGAGCCGACGACCCCTGCTAAACGAATCAGAATTGAGTCCATAAGCATGAGCAGCCCTCTTGCAACTCCACCAAGGATTGAAAAGCTGAAGACTGAGCAAATCGCTGCTTCAAATCTTGACCCAGAGTAAAATGAGTAATTTTTATTTGGTGTTGATTTTTCTACAACTTCTTGAATTTTTTCAGTCAATCTAAACTACTGAATGAAGCCATCAGCAAACTCGGCCGATTTGAATTTTCTCCCTGCGCTACCGTGGGTGTCACGCACATAGTCTGGGGCTCTGGCAGAACCATAAATCTTCTCAGGGGAATTGCTCTCGGCTGCAGAATTCTCACTTTTCAATGGGTTTGTAATTTGTATTTTAATATTCAATGCATTTCTAGTATGGTCTATGGATGTGATAAAGCTTGTATATTCTTGTTATTCTAACCATCTGTTGTTTAATTTGAAAAGAAAATTGATTTTTTAATTATTAACAACAGGTGGAGGAGTCTCTGGCAAAAGGAAAATGGCTTCCTGAGGGCGATTTTGTTGCTCCTGCGTATGCTTCAGTTGATATGGTAAGCATTTTCGGAGCAATTTTTTTTTAATTTTCAATCAAGCTCTTAACTTTTTAAAATAGATTTTAATTGATGAATAATTCCAGGAGATCCAACGTTTGCGGAAAGTTTACGGCAGTCTTTTCTCATGCCAGCTGTTGCGAGCCATGGGCCCAATCTACGTCAATTCTGGAGTGAAAAGTGCCAAGCCAGATGACTTGAGGACCTTGGTTCGTCTCTGTGGCGGCACTTTGGTGCACAACCTGCAGGATGCAAAACTTGTGATCGGCCCCCCGCCGGATAAACTCATTCTCTCTACCACAACCTACGTCAAAGAGAACTGGCTGTACAGTGTCCTTTGCAGCTACAGAATCAAACCCATCAACCCCTTTCTTTACGAATCAAAGCAATCCTGAATTTTCATCATGTGCAAATTAGTTTTAAGTTACCCTATCTCTTGAGATTAGAGATTTTAAGTGATCGGTCTGGATGGATCATTGAAACATTTGATTGTCATGTCGATAATGTAAGAGACCTGCCCTGATAATAGAAAGTTGATCTGCATGAATCATGTATTATAAGTTTCAAGAGTGGAATTAAAAATAATAGAAATTTATTGTTCTTTACTTTTACTTTTTTTATTGTCAGCTAAACACACACTTTCCAAGGCCATTAAGTTTGAAAATTAAAAATCGTTTCCTCACTGGAATGAATTGCAAAGAGTCTTCAAGAAGTCCTTGGCTTTGGCCACGGTCTCATCCACTATGGCTTTGTCCAACTGGACTTTCACTTCCTCGACCATCTCTGTGAAAGCTTTGAGCTCTTCTTTCTGCTCCTGACCACATTCCTGTTAATTTATCCAAAAATTTAGTTATTTCAAGTTAAAATTATTTAAAATTTGTGTACCTTTTCAAGAGTGGCAAGTACTTTCTGCAGGGTGGAGGCTCTTTTGGTCTGCGCAGTTTTCAGCTGGTCCAAGAACTGGACGTGACCCTCCAAGGCCTTGGCTAACTTCTTGGCCATGGCGCTCTGAATTTTAAATTTTGTTTGGTTTAAACCTTTTCACTTATTAATGGAAATTTTATATATACCTGTGACTCGATGGACTTGGCCTCTTCCTCGATCTCTGTAGCAACAGGTTTGATGGTTTGGATGGCAAAGGTCATGTGCTCCTGAGCCTTTTGGTCAACCTTTTTGAACATTTCCAACACCTTATTGTGATGACCTTTGAGGATATCTGCAGAAGAGGAGCATAAATTTATGTAATAATGGCTCAAGAAATTAGATTTCTCACCATTGATTGGACCACTAGCCTTGATTTTGGCATTTTTCTCCCTCTGAGCATTTTCAATCTTAGAGTTGCGGAACTTGCGGAGCCGGATGGCATCCTCGACCATTTCTCTGGACAGCAGGGGTTTTTCCAGTGATTCAAAACGCCTGCGGAGATTGGATGATGGACTGCTTTCTCGTTTGGCTCTGTTAGTTTCCTGCTGCAGAAAGTCAAAAGCAGAAGTTTTCTTGTCCTTCTTTGCCTCGGAGGGCCCAGAGTTGTCCGGCGGAGCCTCAGGAGCCACCTGCTGTGCAAGAAGGGCTCTCCTGTTGCGCAGCAGCCACTTTCCACGCGTTTCAGCCATTTTTCAATTACTGTGCAATGAATGAATGAATTATGCGTGGCAAACCCAAACCTAGTACAAAAATCTTTTAGCTAAAAAAAAAAACAGTCTCTATGGCTCGCAAAAAGTGCCCCCTCTTCTCCCTTCTTTACACCTCCTTTTCAATGCATTGAGACATTTTTGAGAGAATGTGTGGCAAGACAAAACAAAATGAGACAGAGTGAAACGGCTTGGATCCTGCACAAGTGCACACAACATCCATGATTGGCAAGACAATATTTTTTTGTGGTTTTTTTTAAATTTTTTTTCCAATCCATAATAATTATAATGTAATATTATGATTTTTTTGTAATCTGATACCGGGATGTGCAGATTTAATCTCTGTCAAATTAAAAAATAAAATCAACCTTGTATTTTAGAGACTCTAAAGAGTAAAATTATATCTTTTAAATTTTATATAATGAAATATTAGTGTTTGATTTTTTTATGCAAGTAATTAAAACAATTTTTTTTCAGTTTCCAACAGAATTTTATTGGAGTTGGTGCTGCACATACATAATAATAAGGAATTTTTCAAGATCTTTTAAAATATTCAACAAACAATTTTAAGTTAAATTCATTATTTTCTACTCGAAGCGAGTTTTGCTTTTTTAATTTAACTTTACATTGCTCGTATACGCTTTTCTTGGGAATTGTTGGGTCATCGATCGGTTTTAAACGAAAATCAGACATCACTGTGTGATAAGATTTAACGCTTGTTTCAACCCTGATGATCGTATTTTACGGTATTTACATACAAAAATATTTTTTGCATCTGCCTCACAATAAAGGCGGTGTGCGTATGTGTGTTGTTTATTTTTGGGAATTTTCATGTCACGCTTTGATAATAAAAAAGAAATGAATTTTTATTAAAGCGCGCCACTATAATTTATTTGAATTGAATTAATTGTAAACGTCTTTTGTCTGTTAGCGATAACATAAAATTATGAGACTAGATACACGGGGACAACAGTTAAAATGGTATTTTTTACTTCAGAAATTTTTTTCAGCAAATCGAATAAGGAGAGATTGTTACATCCAAGTGAATATTCAGTCAAATTTAAAATACACAGATTCAATAAATGTTGAACTTGAGACAGAAAATCACGGTACTTTAAAATTGTTAATTAATTCAGAGTTGACAATAAAATTATTTTGATTAAAAATGGTACCATCTCTCATTAATTTGCTAAAACTACATGTAGAATTGCTTAATTATAATATCAGTATAATAATCTTTGAATATTTTTCTCTTCTTCGGCGCGTACAAACACTGATAAATAATTAATTGGATTTGGTCCATAATTTGTATCCAATAAGTAAAGGTACATTGGTCATTTATTTTTTAAATTAAAAAATTTCAGCTGCTGTATTGGCTCCAATTAACTAATGGTAATTTTCGCACATCCAATACTTGACTGCTAAAATGCGTTTGAATTAGTACAATTTTTTTTGTAAAAATTTTTATGGTGCTGGAAAAAGTGTGAATTTGATGATATAAAAATACATCAAGATTTTACAATTAAATATTTTTATGATTATAAATAAAATTAAAAGTTTTTGTATTATTTTATTAATATTACGCATCGTAGAAACGGCAATGTGGTGTATGAGTAATGCAGAATTAACGTCGTTTTTTTTATATAATTATACTTCTCAGTAGCTCCGAACGCATTGACTAGAGCGTTAACATGCAGGGGGACTAATTTCGCTGGATTTTCTTGAGAGCCTCCTGCGTAGCGTGTGGTCAAACCTTGCTCTCAGGACCATCGGTGCTCAAGTACTGGGTGAAGGATGAGCGGATTCGGAACAGGCGCAACGCGCACATTTGGCCGTAGCACTTGTTGTACCATTCAACACTGCGACCCCTGAAATAAAAAAATAATAAATTTTAGTTCATGAATTTTGATTTTGATATTTGATTTTTGAGGAAATATGCCACCAGCACAAAATTATAATTTTAAAATAATAAATTTAAAATGAAAAATATTTCTTTTGCACCACCTATTAAAGAGCACAAGCTGAAAAGACGTTGTCTTAGCCTGATACAAAATAAATAAATATAAATAAACTTAAATTAATTGATTATATAGTGTTCAATTTTGTTAATTGGCTCAAATCAAATTCTGAAATACCAAAATGAGATTGTTTCAAACTTACTTTGTATCCACTCTGGAGAGATGGATGATCTTTGATCTGCCAGAGCCGCAGTGCTCGATCAAGTACCTGGAGGCTAGGACGATGCCTCTGTTTGCTCCCGGGACCAAAGGCTCATTACTCAAGCCATACTCGACCGAGGTCTCAACAAGGACGCACCCTCCTCTTGGTAGATCACTTCTCCAAGTTCTGCAAAAAATAAAATACAATTTTTTGTAACTTTTTTTGGCTAAAATTTGAATTATTCAGGGTCCTACCTGAGTACACAGTAGTCCCTGGGGGCCAGAGGTGCCATTGAGTGGTTGGCGAACTGGAAGACTTCGGCCTGGGAATCCAACTTGGCAAGAACTCGAGCCTTGGCCAGGGTAGGGTCCCACAAGAACTGTTCTCGCAAAATTCGGTTCAGCAGCTCACCAGGCGGAGCTTCGACCTCAGTCGTTGCTTTCCATACCCTGAGAGGGTGACCATCACCAACCTTTTTGTAACTCAAATCCACCTGAAAATTAAAAAAAAAAATTAATTCAAAGGTTCGTAATATTGCAAAAATTAAGTAAAAAATTGATGAAATGAATAATAGTGAATAATATTTTACCTGAGGATGGTGGCAGTTGACGTTGACCCACCCTCGGGACCTTTCCTTCAGTTCTTTGAGCAGGGCGGATGTGCAGGTGTTCATGTACCCTCGCCAGTCATGGCCGAGGTCGGCGCCAAGCTCGTCAAGAGAGAGCGGAACGCTTTGTTCCATTGAGCTGAAGTGGCACTGCGTCAGTAGATCCTGGCTCACCCTGACCAGTTCCTCGTGGTGGTTGATCAGGTACAACAGGCAGTCGTGGCTGGCGCGGTTCTCGGAGAGTTCCTTTGCGTCCGGTGAGCCGGTGCCTTGTTTGGCGCGCTTCGAGCCTCTGGCACGGGGACTGCCGCCCCTGGAGTCGCCTCCGCTGGGAGAGTCGATGGACGTGTTGGGCGTCGGAGGGGAGTGGGTGGACGAGTGGAAGAGGGAGGGCGCAAAGCAGACGGCCAGGTTGCTGGCGGTCATCTGGTTTTGCCGCGAGTGGGACGCCACCAGGCTCAAGAAGGTGAGCAGCAGTTGCAGAACTTCTCTGTGCTGGTCGGGCAGGAGGATCACGGCCCACTTCATGGCTTCGTGTCGATTAATTAAAGGTACATCTGTAAACGAGAAAATTTTCAGTATAAAATTTGAGTAAAAATATGAATTTCTTTTTCTTACGTTGGAAAATAGCCACAAAAGTGTCACTAAGTTTATTAGTCATCAACGCTTCAGGCAAATCTCTGAAGAATTGTTTAACCATATCAGCCACATCGTAGTCTTGTTGCTCTTCCAAAGCAAACTCGAAGCGCTCATCGGCCCCTAAAAATGATTTTTTTTTTCTAAATACTGACCATAGCTTTATTTTAGGTTTTCATACCCAAATTTGTGAGATGCTGTCTTAGTTTTAGAATCCTACTTTTAACTCCTGGCCTCCTAAATATGCCCTGCCTGTCCAATGCATTGTCAGCCAAGTGTTGGATGGCGGCTTGGATGGCTGGCGGAAGAGCCTGGCCGGTGGTTTGGAGGAAGGCGATGAAAGACACTCCGAACAAAGCACCATCTATAAAATAAAATTCATTTAAATTTTTTGTTAAATATTTAAATGAGCTGCAAACCTTTTGGAAGGTTGGTTTTTCCAGTCTTTCTCATGAACTTGGGCAACTCCCAGCTGAAGCCCGTGGACCTGAGGGAAGGGCAGTGCCTCTCCATCATGGCTGTGAGCTTGAGCATGGCCAACTGCCGCAGCACCATCAACTGACCACTTGAGAGTGAGGCCAAAGGCACCCCTTTTCGTCTGTGACCACCAATCTGAGGAAGGGTCGACGGTCGTCGGATCGCACTGCTTCCTCGGCCAAAGCTGTGCCACCTTGTGACAGTCCTAGCAGAAATTTTTCAATTAATTTGAAATTTAAAATATTTGAGAAAGCTCACTTTTTAGAAGGTGAGGGAATTGCATCCTCTTCGTGGATGGATCCCTCTGAGCTGCCTTTGGACAGCTCTTTGTGCCTCTTGGCAAAGGCACTTCGTCGAAGCTGCTCGTAAAATGACGTCGTTCTTGTCTCCTCCTTGTCAGGGCTGATGCTGGCAAGGCCACCATTATCAGATTTACCTAAAAAAATAATATTTATAATAAGCCATTTTATTTTACATTATAAGTTTCTTTAGAAATCTACTCACCATACTTAGAGCTGGGTTTGTTGCTTTTAATCTTGATATCCAAATTGAGTGTGGCCGACCTCTGCTCTTTAGTCTGCAATTTCCTCGGCCTCTTTGATGGCTCCTTTTTCTTTTTCTTCTTATCCTCATCCTCCTGTAGAGAAAGTTCAAAGTTAACAAAAATACTTTAAAATTAACTTAATCCTTTTCACCTTATTTTTATCCCCCATGTCCATCCAAGCAGAGCTCCTGTCAAGGCACTCTGAGTCCGAGTGCGCTCCTAAGTCTTCTTTTTCAACAAATAACAAGTTGTTGTTTGTGTTGGTGAAGAGATTCACAGCTGTATTTGGAGATCCAGCCTCCAAGGCTTCAGGTGAATTCAGATCCACGCAGTTCAAAGTCTTCATTCGCTCCTGCATGCTTTCCACGTCTATCACCTGGTCAAAAAAAATGCACAAAGTTAAAATTTTACTGAATATAAAACAAACAAAAAGTGATAAGTACCTGAGGAGCACCGATTTTGGGCATATCTTCACTTCTGCAGCCAACCTTGGCCTTCTTGCCCCTTGATTTGAGACTCTCTACTCTCCTCAGAAAGGCTTTAGCGCCGTCCCTAAACTTTTCGCTACCCGACCTGCGGAATGTTTGCGGTGAAGCAAATTCTGTCTCCATGTCGGACGATGTGGTTTTAAATTTTCCTGTAGTAAAATAATGGATAATGGTAAATTGAATTCATTATATCCATATTTGCATAAAAATTAAGTAATTAACTAATCATTTTTTAAGATTTAATATATTTCATCTTTCAATTTCTAACCTGGAGGTAAACTGCTGCTGTGTTGTCTTTGCAAAGGCAACTGGTTTTGAATTTTGGTCAGATCAGAAAGGTCGTCCGCACCACTGACTTCAGTATCACATTCAGGTAGCTCGGGATTGGCGCCTGGAAGGCAAAATTTTTTAAAAGGAGGGTTTTTGCAGGCACGGCGAGGAAAGATTTTTGCAGTAATTGCATTTGCGGTTAATTTGCGTGGCTTAGGGAATACCGACCTGCCAGAGGCGCTGCCCTGTGCAAGGGCGACTGTTGCTCAGTGAGGGGTGAAACTCGAGACCAGCGGCGCGACTGATGCAGAAACATCCAATTATCACTCAAGGCACACTCGACCTCTTCGTCAGAGTCGGCAGCTGCGTGAACCTCACCATCCCTCTGCAACACGTAAATTAAAATTACTAAAAATAACAAATTGCGGTTAAATGCCAAATTAGCATATTCATAAGTTTAAAACTATATTATTAATTAATAATTATGACTATCAAAATGCTGAAAAAAAAACATACATGATGAAGAAAATTTTAAAAGTTTTGTTCAACTAGTTTTTAACGTTGGAAATATAATTTTAAAAATCTTAAAAAATTTCTTCAGATGTTTTAAACTTAAAAAAAAATAGTTTTACTACATATTGAGCACGTAATTAAGAAATTGCCAAGCATACCCAAAAAAAAACCTTTCGAATCCTGTCAACTATGAAGTGATTGAGCGACTTTTACAATTGTATCCTGATTGTCCAAAAATTGCACCACAATGCACAGTCGAACCTTCACTCTCAAAGTTTCCAGAAAGACTGATCGTTTCGTTTTTACTGGCAAAAGGAAGGTGTCCTGTCTGCCCTCCCCTCACTTGTGCACGTCTTTCGATATCCACCCTGACAAATTTGAGGCTCAACAACCCCCGCATGAGTGAGTCGGGCAGAGGGTGCAAGAAAGGAGGCGCCAAGCTGAGGTCACAAAAGCAGTCGCGCACAAAAGAGAAAAGGAGCCGGGGCAATAAAACACAGACGGACGGACAGAAAAGCTGCCCTGCGTGTCGCCAAAAATTCCAGCAGGTATATAATACGGCGCGCACATGCCTCGGGATGGACGGGGGAGGAAAGTACAAAACAACCCCCTGCATGGCCTGTAAAAGATGTGTGGAGATGTGTGTCATAAACGCATGCAGGAGAGAGACAACGAGACCTTCTGACAGAAGGAATAATTCAAAGTCAACCAAATTTGCCAAAAATGGGAAAATTTTAGAAATAATTTTTTTATTCTTAACTTAATAATTGAAAAAAGTAGCTTTATGAATTGTACAAAAAAATTGAAATGATATTAAACAGTTTATTTCAAATTGAAGGTATAACGTTTTATTTATAGGAATTCAGAATAACATTTTATTTCAAATTTTTAAGTGAAGGGCCCACTTTGAGACATCCCTGGTTTAGAAGCCAGACGCGGTACTCGGCGATATATTTATTGCCTCGAAATGGGTTTGTGTTATTCCTTTTTTTTCACATTCCATACCGTTTTGCTGAAGATGACAATTCGCTGGAGAGCGTGACAGATTGGATTATTTGTTGGTTCTGTCCGCGACACGACATCCAGCAAAGAGGGGTTTGTTTGTTTGGGCGCGCACAAACACAAAAGGAAAATTACACGACTGTTTGGGTTTCAATAAACCAAATAAATCTCCGAGATGCCTGGTTGAAGATTTTGTGCAGACGTTATTTAAAATAAACATCACCGAGAGACAAGGTTTTTTTTATATAAATATAAAATATTTTTCTTAAGAGAAACTTTGCAAAAAGAAATTTTAAAATAAAGAACTAGCTGTTATTTATTCAAAATCTGCTAATTCATTTTTGATTAATTTTTATTTTTACATGCGACGTTTATTTATTCGCCATATTTTAAAGGAACAGCGATTCCGCACCGGGCGCATTTTTGGTCTGCGAAAATCAATAAGCGGCGGCGCGCTATTTCATTTTGCTCGAGCAATAATGGGGGCGGCCTTTGACTTTTAGTCAATTAGCAAACTCGCTCCATCCCTGCAGAAATAACAACACACCGCCGGCAGCAACAGCAACGTGTTTGCCTGGTTGACTGCGGCAGCAAAACGACCCCCGCCAACCCTATAACATTTACTCGCCAGCACTCCCGAAAACTCTCTATTAGATACTTCATGTACATCCCTGCGTGTGTAGCACACACTATACACACAGTGCTGGGTGCCACCGAAAGAACAATTAGTTTATACTGGTACATATAAGTAGTGTAACGTAATGGGCTGTTCATCGGAAGTAGACGCAGAGAGAGGCTCTTTATATAAAACGGAGTGAAGGCTGACAGGCGCGCAAACATTATTTTAACGTCAGCGGGGATTCTTTTTTATACTCACTGAAGAAGAAAAATATTCATATACAATTTTTTTTATTCTTATAATTAGAAATAAAAAAATGATAATTTAAAATTACTAAATTTTGTTTTAAATAGCGAAAATTAATTGAAAATTCAAATTTATTATGAATGTAGTACTAATTGTGAATTTTATTAAATAAAAATATATTCCCTCAAACTGTGCGCAGTAAGACTGTTTAGATGCAAACATTTATTTAGAAAAATTTTTATTGAACATTTAAAAAGAAATAACAATTATTTATTCTTTAAATTTCAATAATGGAATTAGCTCCAAAATTTCAAATTTGTAGCTTCATTAAAGGAATTATTTTTTACTGGCGTCACGATTATTTTTTTAACCCGATTAATTCTGAGACTGTAGCGAGAAAAACTATAAATCTTATATTTTATATTTAACAAAATCTATCTTTAATAAAAAAATCTCTTTTCATGGGTATAAATTTATAATTTCAGTCATTTGCAGTAATAATATAGTAAATTTAAATTAAAATTCACAAGTGGTAACAAAATAACCCCAAACTAAAAAAAAAATGGTAACTTTTGACTAAATGCCTTAATGTGAAACTTTTGAAGGGTCGCATATTGGCCTGACTTGCATGACAATACAAAAAAAATTGGATAAAATTTCTTGAAAGTGCTTTTTTTTGTTTTAAAGCAGCTTAGAAAATTGTGCGAAGATTTATGACAAGATAAGTTATCTAAAAATTAAGAATACTTAAAATTGAATTCAAATTTGTTCGGTTTTCGGGTTGTGAAAACAAAAAATAATGATTATAAAATTGATTTTACCTGTGCATTGTTGTGTTGAGTGCCGATGGCGGCCGCGGGTGCGCCGTCGATGCGGTGCAGGCGGGCGCACTTGTTGAGCGCGTGCAGGCGTCGGAACAGGGCCTGCAGGGCGTCGCGGTCGAGGAACGGGTGGTCCTTTTGCACCGCGTGCAGGTCCACGGGGAACTGGTGGTCGGCGTACATCTGCGCGTACTGCGGGAAGCCGGCCGCCCTCATCCACCGGCAGGCCTCGGCCGCCTCGATTTCTGCCAACACAAAAGCGAAAAAAATAATGCGCGCCCAATCAATACTCTCGGCGGTTAAACAGAAAGTGCAAAAGCGCGGTTGGCTTTTCGTGTCGCTTTATGTACCACTCAGAGGGCATCAGCAGCACATTGTTGCATACAGAGTCCCTTATTGTTGCTCTCCAATCGGCAATCATATTGTTTTTCACTTGCTGACTGTTATTTTAGAACATTCTTTACACGTTTCTTGCAAGGAAAATTTATTATTTATGCTAAAAACTTCCAAGAACAGTTTGATCGAACAAAATTATCATATTTTCACAAATAAATTAACTGATAAACAAGGTTATTTTATTAATTGCATTTAAATCAATTAAATTATTTGAACTCTCAAAATAAAAGTGAAAAACCAAAATTCAAATAAATTTTTACAGAGCTGAGAAATTGCTACTTCCTTTTTTTTTAATTTGATAATAAGAAAAAGAATTGTGAAAATGAAATTCAAATTGTAATTTTCAATAATCCTGCTCAGACCTTGATTCTTCTGTTTTATTTTCCACGATGCACATCATTGACCCGTGTGTTAAATTCCGTTTGAATTTGGCCACACGAACCCTTTTGACAAACAATGCAGGCGCTTTTATCAGCACCAGGCCACAATAGGCGCCGGTCAGGACAATGCCACCTGCTGCCCCACAAAACTCAAAAATAAACTCGCGTCTCTTTCCATTCACCCTCACGTTAGCACGAGCAAAAAAACTTTTGACTACAATAGCAGCGATGTATGCCTGGCCTACCGCACAAGATCAGAGGACGGAAAGAGAGAAAGAAAATAAAGAAGAGGAAAAGAACGAGAGCGCCCACAGGTGCCGCAGAAAAACCATTTTTTCATCAACGTCGAGTTGGTCGAGTTGCTATATGGGCAGTTAAAAATAAATTATACCCATACATTTATATGGAAAAAAAATTCGTTTGATTTTTTTAATATATAATTTGTGAGGCGTTGAGAATTAAATGGAGAGTAAATCAATAGTGGCGTGAAACCTTAGCAGCTCAAATAATCACTTCATATTGCCCAACACACCGTATAGATCTATCCAACTTTCTTATAGTCTTGACTTTTGAGGTTAATAACGCAAGAAAATAAATACTGAAAGCACCTTGAATCGAGATTTAAAATAACTTTTGAGAAAATTTGTATCAAATCTAAATTTGAAATATTCTACGGTTTTGAACTGCCAGGATATTATTTTATTCACTGTCCCTCGTGTTAAGAAAATCAAATCAACCTCTAAAAAATCGTCTTAGTTTTCCAATTTTCATCAAAATTTCCTAAATTATAATTAAATTATAGAATTAAAGTCAAGGTTTACAATGTTTTACAAACAAAATCAAATTTTTAGGAATAATGTACCGCAAACTGTGAAAAAGGTAATTATTGTTAGCATTTTTCAGACGTGGATTAATTTAATTTTGTTAGGAACCAAAAGCCTGGATTTACAAGCAATGCTTTTATAAATCCTAAAACAATATTTGAGAGAATCCGCGTACACAAAACGGCGGCGGGTCGGAATACATTTTGCACCCACCTCTCTCACGCGCGCTTTCACCCTGCTCACCCCCCGACGGGCAGCAGGTAGTGAAGTAAGCGTGGTCCATTCGCCTGCCGTCGGAATGATCCGCAACCCGCTCTTCATTATATTTTTAAATGCGAAACGCACCTGCGATCTTTTTCTCCCTGAGGCGGCGCCACAGTTTCTCGGCCTTGCCCAGCGACCAGCCCTCGACCCTGGAGCTGAAGCTGCGGAAGAACTTGTACTCCTTGAAGTGCGACATATTGACTGACGTCCGCCCGCCTGTTGACTGACTCGGTGGGCATGCAACCCGCCAAGCAGCCGAGCAGCCCGGGGAGAGATTCGCGTCCTGCGCAGAAAGGAAAAGCACCCCGTGTGCAATAACTCGGCCTAATGAACCTGTAGCACTTGATCGTCTAGCAGTTCACCCCTATTGTTTCCTCATTAATTACAAATCAACCCTCCTAACACAACCCCTTCTTCTGCGAATAAACTATTGTTGTTATTTCCGTCACCGCAACTGTCAACGTCTGGGAAGACAAACAACAAACCCAAGGTTCGAAGACGAGAACTTCCCCTCGGGTGTGAGATTTTAGCTTTATCGAAACGATTTTGATGCGGTTTTAAAATATCATTGATCTTAATTATTTGAATAAATTAAAAAAAAGTGTAAAAAAAAATAATGCAAATTTTAAGCAACTAAAAGAACTCAAATTAAAAAGAAATGATTGATGAGCTTAAATTATCAACCCTGTTGTGTGGGTGCAGTGGGTGGATGGTGTGGGAGGAACGGATTTCATGCTTTGCCGTTTTCTCCAAGGCACATTTTTACACCCTGGTGGAGCACTCTATTTCAATTAGTCTCACTCGGCTGCAAAATTTTGTTGAAAGATACTCTTAACTTTTACCAACACATACATGTTAGTTTAGTTTCATAAGTTATATTAATTTATATATTAATGATTGATTCCCTTTAGCTGTTTTTCCATTAAAAACCTAATTGAAACGGAACAAAGTTATCTAATTAAGGAAATGTTAAACTCACCACTTAAATGTCTCTCCGAGTGTGATCTCATTTGGGGGTAGCTCTGAAAAAGTTAATTTTGATTAGAAAACATGATTATATGTAAGTTCAGTTGACATTACACGTTATTTTGTAATATTTGAATAATTTGTAATCTAAATCCGTCAGTAAGAGAGTTGCAAAGTTGTTATGGAACTGTCAGGATTAATATGAAGAGTTATTTCATACAATCATTACAAAACGTGATTTGATTTCTGTGGAAATTCCTCTTTTCCAATATACATAAAAATTTCCATCAGCAGCAACAAGAGGAGTGCCGAGGGATTATATTTGTGCCATCCAGTTGAACAGCAAGAGTATTATTAACACCTGAGTGGCGCACTTCAAACGGCGCAATATTCAACGCATAGGCACAGTGACAGTCGGGTGCACGCCCTTGATCCAGGGACAAAATCTGAGCCAGAGTGTCCAAAATGCTTTGGTTTATTGCGAGCGTAAGTGCACCCATTGAACCCAATACAATCGCAGAAAAAAAAATGCAAAAGGCAGGAAAATCAATAAATAACTCAACGGAATTAGTTTTTATCATTGTAACATTTCAAAAACTGCAGCTTTTAAAACATAAAAAGACAAAAATATCAAAAATTCAAATTTGTTGCTTACTTTCTTATTTTGGCCGTTGGAAGGTGTACTTTGGCCTATTTGAGGGGAGCCAGGGGGCTCATTCATGATTACAGGTGCGGAGGAAGATTTTGCGCCCATTTCAGGGCAAATGGTCGAGCCAGAGAGTGATGACACTGACGAAGGACTGTGCAGTGGTTCTGTGGGCTGAAAGCATTTTACACCAAAATATTAATATCAATAAAAAAAAATTAATCTTTTTTCCCCCATAAATTTCAATTTAAGAAAAAACTGAAAAAAGTAGAAAAAAATTTGTTTCTCCTTTTATAATAATTATTTCACCTTTGCTTTGGGTCTCCTTTTGACCCTTGTTTCATTGTCGCTGGCGGCGCTTCGCCACGAAGGGGTGCCTTCTCGTCCAGCCACTGGAGGTCGGCTCGAATCCCAACTTTCCAAAAGGTCACCCGCGCTGCCATTCCGGCTGCTGCCGTCGCAACTTTCCCGCTCTGGGCTGGACGTGTCGGCCGTTGTGCCTGCAACAACAATTAAAGTCAATTAAGAGTTCGATAAAACCAATTTAGATCATTAACAGTTTTGAATTGGAAGTTTCTTACCAGTCGCTCCATTTGAAGAGAGAAAAGTTTCCTCACTGCTTGAGAAAGGGGAGCTGCTGTCCGCCCCGGCGCTTCCACCCCCGAGACTGCTTTGGCTGCTGCTGAGCCAGGTGACGCTTGAACTGCGGGACAAGGGCGTCTGCGTTCCTGCGTCCAAGGACAGGTTGTCTCCCAAAATGGTTGTCTGCACCTTTCTTAAGAATGTGTCCACCTCTTTCGGTTGCTGAAATTTTTTTGTATTGTTAAAAATGAAACTATTTCACAAAGTTTTCAATTTTTTTTTTATATCAAAATTAAAGAAGCACCCATAATTTTTAATCTGGAATCAAAATCACGTCTGATGTTTTTTTCGCAGCGATTTGAAACTAATTCACAAAAATTTATCAAATTTCAGATTAAAAAAAAAATAAATAAAAAAAAAATTATTTTAATATTTATATTATATTTTGTACGTCGTTTTCTACACATACCAGCAAAGGTGACGTTGGGGTGGCGGCTTGCGAGTTGGCCGGCGACGTCGGTGTTGTTGCGTTTTCCTTTTGTTGCTGCAGAAGATCAGGTAGCAGCAGGGTGGGTCTCTTTGGAGGCACCTTTGGCGGAACCTTTGCAGGCGGAAGCGGCTTCAGTTCTTCCTGAGCCTTCAGGGTAGGGCTATCCTTCGCACTATCAACCTGATCCGCCTTGATCACGTCAGGGTAGCATTGCTTCAGGGCGGCTTCCTTCTGCCACTGGTCAAAAACTGCCCCGATCTCATCCTAAAATCACAAAAAACATTCAAAATTAAAAAAAGTATTTACTTTTCTCTCAGGTTCAGCTTTATATAATTTATTGAATAACTTTCTCTGCAGTAATTTGAAGCAGAGTTGTTTGTATAAAGTCAGTCAGCCCGGGCACACCTGAGGCTGACAAACACACCAGACAGAATGTTACGCATTATTCAAAAGCAGAGTCTGCGTGCTTATTTAATGCAGCCGCGTTTCCTTGTTTTACATTATTGAGCGCGAGTGGGCCCAGCAAGGTTGTCTTTGGGTCCAGCACAGTTCCACGAACTTTTATCGAATTAAAAAAAAAATGGCATCTTAAATGCTTCATTTATTTAAAATTATTTATATCATCAATTTTTTTATTTAGCAAATATCAAAAAGGGAAGGAGTCAAATCGTGCACGCACAAGCTTTGACGTATTTTCATGTCAAAATTGAAAGGCATGAGAATTAATTATTGTATTAATTACTGTTGATAGAAGATGCTGTGTAAATAACAAAATTTGGTTTGATTGAGGAAAAGAAAACTATTTATACACATTTTCTTGGCCAACCAATTTTGTTGCATTCCTTTCCTGGTATAAAGTAATTAAAACGTGGGCTTTTAAATGTAATTAATTAATATAGCCACCCAAAGTCAATAATTATTTTAAAATTTTTGAACAATTTGCAAGTATTGTTTTGCGACTTATCATTTCATTATCAATGTTGAATAAATTTTGTCATCTCACCAAAAACTTACTAGATAAATTTTAGCACCAAAGAAGTGCAGTAAATAAGTTTAGTACGAGGAGTATTATCAGTTTTTTTAAATTTTGCTGCTTATTTTAAATTTTTGTTTTAAATTTTAGTATTTTTGGGGCGCATTTAAGGATCAGGAAGGTCCGGTCGCATGATTTATTTTCATTTTCATTCGTCATCGGCACATTAAACAGCCGAAGTGACGTCACTGATTTCTTCTCGCGCTAGCCAGCATCTTGTAAGTGGGCACTAAAGGCACCAATCGGTCTGTCATGCCGCGCGGAGAGCAACATAATCTCTCTCGGCAGGCTCATATGTATGGAGTGCTATGCCTTGGAAGGTGAACTTGTACTTATAAGTGTGCATAGAACTATATATCAAAAGAGACGCGCTCGCGGCGGGCAAAAAATACAGCGTACGTATATCTATAAACGACATGCACAATCGATGTAAGCAGAGCCGCGGGCGACTTAAACGATGCAAATGGTCTTGCCAATTATGAAACGTTGCCAGGCAAAAAAGGCGCGAGATCTGTGCAGTTCACACTATAAGCCGAAGAATGATTTCTGAGAAATCATATTTTCTTGGTAAAATAATAAAATAATTTTTTCAGAGGTTTCATTGAGTAAACGACCTTTACAATCTAGTCCTTAATTGTCTTCATTTGCACCAAATAAAATATTAAGCTTGTTCATGGCAGAGAAATTAAAAATTAAAGCTTACAAGAAAACTTAAAATATTAGTTCATATTTCCACGTATATTTTTACTTATTTGTCTCTTATTTAGAAAGTTAAATCTTTTTGTACAAATGTGTAATTAAAATTTTGCGTTTTCAATTAATAATATGTGAACAAAGAAATCAAAATTAAATTTATCCAGCATTTACCCATTACATGTTTTTACCCAAAATTAAATTTTTATTCAAAGTCAAAAGAATTAACTTATTTCAACCCCTGCACTTTTTTTCAAAAATTTAAATTCAATAAAATTTTACAGTTCATTCAATTTATTAAGTGGGAGTATGAGCAGTATTATGTCGTAAAGATTTATATTCCCAGCGCCAAAGATGCCAATCTGTCCATTTTACTTTTTCCAATTTAATTTTATTGCGCCGCTCATATAGTTTGCAAACGTCGTAAAACAGATGTGTTTCGCACGCCAGATTGAACTTCTTCGCATTATTCTTAATCGAAGCGTTTCATCAATGAAAATAAAATTAATAATGCCTTGCACGACGCGCGGCGAAAAGAAGTAGAAATCTCAAGCCATATGGTGCAGAGCGCAAGTCGAGCAAAAGCCGGGAGTGGCTCTCATTAGAAGTGAAACAAGAACGAGCCACCATTCATGTCCAACTCTCGCGCGTCCGTCAAAACGCGAGTCGCAAGGTTTTCCCAAACGATGACCTTTAGCGGCCGTAAAATGCAGGAGATGCAACAGCGGCTGAAGGAAACTAAATATTACTTTTTAGAGAAAAAATTTCAAAAAAAATTAAATTTGGTTAAAAGCAAGGTTCGCGCATTAGAAAATTTCGATTGTTGCCGAGCGCTCTGATTGGGTGCAATTTTACTTGCACCCAATCAGAGAGCTCAAACAACAATCGAAAAAAATTTCAATTGTTCTGATGCGCGAACCTTGGTTAAAAGTTTTAAAATTTATTTAATTTAATAACACAAATGTATATTTTTAAATATATTAATCTAAGAACAGTTAGTAGCAGAAATTAATCTTTTGAAAATATGATTCACTGCGATACTTCCAACTTATTTATAAATTTTAATTTTGAAATTATCTTAAATTTATAAACATTATTTTCTCATCAAATGCAATGTCCAATAGTGTTAAAAAATAGTTTAAACAATAAATTGTGTAAAAAAGGCGATATTGAAAATAATACAATATAGAATTTAAAATTAAAAATTTGTATAATTAAATTAAAAAATATTATATGTCAATTTTTTAATTCAATATTTTAAATATTACATCAGCAAAATAACTTTCTGGAATGTTTAAAAATAATACAAGTATATTTCCTGCAAAAGTTCATAATTTGCTTCAAATGTAATAAATTTTTTTTAAGTCTTGCCAAGAAATTTTCAACTTTGGTTTAAAAATAAAACTTTGACTATTGAAATTTTCACATCTATGATAAAAGTGGGTTGATGCATGCATTTGTCAATCGCAGCGCAAGAGAAATTTCCTGTCTCAAGTGCTCTGCAATTTTTGAAACCACCCGCGCCGGCAGCAATGATTCCAAATGCCGCCGAGTTGACAAATTACGTAATTGAACGTCGTCAGCTGCAGCTTTTCAAGTGTAGTGCGTCCGCCTGCTACATACATATTCAAAAGGATGCTTTCATTCGGGATTAAAACCACGCCGCGTGTATTACGGCATTGCTGCCGCAGCCCCCTTTTATCTCGGAGTAATTGCGGTAGATTACATAATTATTGTGTCGCGCAGAAATAGGAATGAGAAAATTGCACACAATGAAACAAGTGTAAGTCCAATAGACGGTCCAGCCTCTCTCAGCTGCCGCCGCGTTCATTGTGTGTGGGATAATATGCGCAGGCACAATGGAACAATTAATCAGTTAAAGGCATTCCGAGAACGCCAAATGATGTAACGTTTCAATACAAGAGTGCTGCTGTAATTCATTGATTATTCGAAATGATAACAAAAATCAATTAAAAACTAATAATTAATTTGTTTTTAGAAACAAAATTTCAATTGAAATTTTAGTTAAAAAATTAAATTATTTTGCATCGAATTAATGAAAAATTTTCTACATAAAACAGAAGCAATATCTGACTAAAATATAACATTTTTTTTTGTTTCCTCGTTTGCATTAGTCATGACACAAAAACAAACGCATCCGTTGATAATTTTATATCAAGAACAACCAGCACAAGACAAAGAACAAAAATATCATCTGAGCTTTTCCTCCGAATGAAACCTCACCCCAAAAACAAAGTGGCCTGAAATCCTATTTTATCTTTTCCTAGACGCATTTCCTGTGCACGTATATATATTATTATTATATTTTCGGCTTTTAAATTAGTATTCAATTTAAATTGTCCACAGAGGCGTCCCTCTTTGTCAGCTCAATTTACAGTCAGGTGCTTCATCCATTGTCACTTTCCGTGCCTGACTGAAATTATAATAAGAGACTGACAGAAAATTTTATAATACTTCGTTTGTCAGCCTAAAACTTGCACCACGAGCGTAAATAAAAATATCTCATTTCCTCTGACTCACAATCAGAGCAAAACTTACTTAGCAGGAAAAACATTTGCAAATAAATTCGACTCTGCGTCGAATGAGTATAGGACACGCCTGAGCTGATCCAGGAAATAATAATCAAATTAAAATTTCTGAAAATAAAAATTTACATGAAGTAAACTCTTAAATATAATGGTTTAAAAATCTATAGAAATAGAGAATATTAACTTGATAATTTTAGTTTCAATTAAAATTAATTATTGCTATTGAAAACCTACTTGATTCAATTGGAGATTTTAAAATTTTTGTAGAAAATTTCTGCCCTTTTAATAACGTCAATCAAGTATTGAAAACTGGATTATATTTTAATCTTCATTGATTTTGCAAATTAATGCCTATTGATTTTTTTTTTAATTTTCATTTAATATTAGAATTTGCAAAAAAAAAATTGATAAAAATTTAATACATTTTTTTCGCGTATTGAGGGAATTATTTTTAACATCCTTGAAAATTCATTTTGTATACGCAACCTTCAAATTTTTTCTTGCAATTTTATAAATTTGACTTCAAAAAAATAAGCAAAACTCTTTGCACTTTTAAACCTATACAGTTAGACCAGTCTTTTTTTAATAGGTGAGAAGTGTTTTACCGTGTTTCGCACTCAATTAGCATAACCGTGCGAAATTTTTTTTATCTCTGGCAAAGGTGCCAATGGCTATGTACTTTTAGCAAAGAACCAGTTTCGCCAGAAAAAGTAGATCGCAAATTAAGACCAAAGACTAAAATTCTCTTTGAAAAAAGAAACACAACGAGATATAATTCAATTATTGAAAGAGCGAGGCCGGCGGAAGGAATATTATTTATATATTCAAATCGAGAGCAGAGACAAGGGCATTCACGATGATGAGTCGCTGCAAAGCCTTTCAACAGATTTTCGTGTTCGCTCTTTCAAGCTTTCTTACAGACGTCAATCAGACGAATTTTACAACCAGACGGATGGAGCGTGATTTTGAAACGCACAAAAGTCGGCGCT